TAAACAATAAAATCAGTACTGTACTATCTGTGTTCTGGGAGAACATGAAGTTTTGTGTAGGTGAGCAGTTTCTAGAAGTCTGATTGCATGTGAATGTGTTGCATAATATCAAAGAGTTAGCTCTAGTGCAGACAATTCCTGCTCTATAGAGATCAACAGTTTGTAAATTTATAATTTAACTGACAGATGTGTCAGTTACAGACAGTAGTAGCTCCAAAAATCTCTGGAGGAAAATGCATTTTATGTCCTTAAGTTATTGTAATATCCTTTTACCTTATAGAATTCTTTATTTTAGTTTTACATTTCCATTTTTCTCAATTTCTTAGCTTGAAAAATTTCAAACCTATGGGACAGTTGCCAAAAGAGCACCACGAATACCTGTATACCTTTTACTTAGAGTTACCACTTACTAGCGTTTTTATTTGTGTATCTGCCTTCTTCTGTCCCTCCTCCCCTCTCCCCTCCTCCCAAGTAGCTGGGTTTATAGGTGCACACCATCGCTCCTGACATGGCCTGATTTCTTTTGTGCATGCATGAAAATAGTATCTACCATTTATGAAGTCCTAAATGAGCTACATGTATTGGAAACATCTTTTAATGTGCATGCACACACATATCTTACTGAACCATTAGAGAGAGTTGTATACATCATGTCATTTCACCCCTTCTTGAAAGAGAGCATTCTTCTCTGTAACTACAGTACTGTTATCACACCCAGGAAACTTAGCAATGATATAACTACTATTGTTAAAATATAGTCTATATTCAGATTTTTTCAGTTGTCCCAAAAATGTCCTTTTAGCTGCCTCCCCTCCTCCTAGCTTTTGGGATCCATTGAAGAAGTGCACATTGCATTTAGTTGTCATGTTTCTTTAATCTCTTTTAATTCTAGAACTTTTCTGGCTTTTGGTGGCGTTGACATTGTGACCAATGACATTGATATCTGAAAAATCTAGACTATTGTTCTGAAGAATGTTCCTCAGTTTGGAATTATCTGATTATGTCATCATGACTAGATTCAAATTAAACTTTTTTGGGCCAGGATTGCTGTGAGGGACATGTCTCTCAGTCATCATTATTGGTGGTGTTAAATTGGATAAATTGATTAAGTTGATGTCTGTCTGATCTCAATATATTTCATTCCCAACAACCTGCCGTTTAATGGTTACAGTAACTTCCTGAGAATAAAAATTGCCTTTATTTTATTTTATTTTTTTGAGTTAGAGTCTCACTCCATCACCCAGACTGGAGGGCAGGGCCGCTCCCGGCCACCGCAGCCTCGACCTACTGGGCTCCAGCGATCCTTCTACCTCAGCCTTCCAAGTAGCTGGAAATACAGGCGTGTGCTACCACGACTGACTAATTTTTTTTTTGATTTTATTGTGGAGATGAGGTCTTGCCAAGTTGCCCAGGTGGGTCTAAAACCCACGGGCTCAGGCAATCCATAAAAATTGCCTTTAAAAAAATTTCCCAATACATACAGCTCATTTAGGACTTCATAAATGGTAGATACTATAGCTACTATTCTCATTGACATTTTATTGAATAAAGAAAAGCCTAGCATACATTGGTATTTACTCTGTATATATTTAGGCGAGTTAAAAAAAAATCATCTTCTTAACAAACGAAAATCGATTAATAAACCAGCTTTTGCCAGTCAGAGTCCACAAGATGTAGTACTTGTTTAAACATCCATTGTTCTCCTAGTCCCAAAACACAGATCATTAAAATACATATAAAAGAGAGTTTTCCTCCTCCTCTGTATATTGATTCTAGAAAAAACAGATGATGTTCTTTAGATTGTTGCATTAACAATATTGATGAACAGTGGGTAGTAACTTGGAGGAGCCAAGGACAGATTTCCCAGGGCATGGAATATTCTGAGTGACAGAGACGGTGTCATGATTTAAAAATGAAGTTGTAACAATGACACCTGGGATGGATTCATTGGCCCTGAAGAAAAATAACATTTGTATTTTGTTCCTAGTTAACTGCTCCAGGAAGAGATGTCTTAATGCCTCATATTTTAAAGAGCACAGGGAGTTATAACTCAATTTCAAGCAAAGATAAGAGAAAGCCTTGTGGGCCGACTTCCTGATTAAGTGGACAAATATGACATGTGGTTTGGTTTGTCATTTTCAATTTTAAATGAACTGTATCATGCACACTGATTATGTATCGTCTTTCCTGTGTTATATTATTTGTAAATGTGGTATCCTTTGTGACCTGAGTGCAGCTGTAATCATATAAGCAGAGCAGTACTTTTGTGAAATGGTAACTATCTGTTGAATCACTACTAATAGCATTGGGTAAGCTTCAGAACTGATTTGGTTACATTGCTGACATCACTGTGCTGATGACCTATGGCCTGTGTCGATCCCTGTGTTAATCACCTGTTAGTTTTGCTTTATTTATTGACTGGAGACATCACCCATCTGGCCCATGTTTTTTGCAATTTTGTGTCATTTTCATCATCTAGCCCCACTACTGGTTTAAGAACTTGTAGTGGTCTCTGTTGCACATTATGTCAAGTCCAAACTTTACTACCTGAATTTTTAGAATTCTGCATTGTTGGTTCCCATTTATCCACTATAGTCCCATTTTTCATGTTCTATAGTTATCTTCTACTTTCTTAGACTTCTTACTGTGTAAACTTGAACAAGTTAATGTCTTAGTCCCAGTTTCATAATCTGTAAAGTAGAAAATCATACTACAGAGAGCAGGGAGACAGTCCATGGAATGGGAAAAAATATTTGACAACTGTATATCTGACAAAGCCCTAACATCTAAGATCTACAAGGAATTCAAATGTGCCAAAAGGAAAAAAACAAACAGCCCCATTAAAAAGTGGGCAGAAGACATGAATAGGTACTTCTCAAAAAAAGATATACAGGCAGCCGAAGGACACATGAAAAAGTGCTCAGCCTCACTAATCATTAGTGAAATACAAATCAAAAGCACACTGAGATACCACCTAATCCCAGTATGAATGGCCCGGCATTACCAAAACAAACGACAGATGCTGGTGAGGTTGTGGAAGAAAAAGGAATACTTCTACGCTGCTGGTGGGAATGCAAACTGGTATAACCTCTTTGGGAAACAGTGTGATTTCTGAAAGAACTAGAAATTGACCTTCCCTTCCGTATTACCCAGCAATCCTCCTGTTGGGAGTATACCTGGAGGAACTCATATCATTCTACAAAAAAGATACCTGCATGTGCATGTTTATTGCAGCACTATTCACAGTAGCAAAAACATGGAACCAACTGTGCTGCCCATCAAAACTGTACTGGATAAAGAAAATGTGGTACATATACACAATGGAATATTATGCAGCCATAAAGAAGGACAAACATATGGACTTTGCAGCAACTTGGATGAATTTAGAGTCTATCATACTGAGTGATCTGTCACAGAAACAAAGAACTAAGTATCACATGCTGTCACTCATAAGCGGACCTTGAACAATTATTGTAATACTATAGGAAAAGGATTGGCAGTAGCAGGAAACTGCTGTGGTGGTGGTGGAGGATTGGCAGTAGTTGGAAACTGCTGGGGGTGGGCAGCATACCTTATCAACAAGGGTACCTACATAATGAAAACTTGTATACCTAACGCTGCATTGTGTTCCACATCTTTAAACTTAAAAATTAAAAAACAAGAAAAATCTTACTATAGTTATAGGAATAGCTCCTATATCAGAGTTTTTAATGAGAATTGAGGTAATATCTTTAAAAAAAATAATAGCCTCCATTTGTGAAGATTTTAATAAGTATCAAGAACTATACTAAGCTTTTAAAATTTGCCTCATTTCATCATAACAGTTTTATGGGGTAGGAAGAGGTTGTGCTAGTGGCAGTAGTAGCACAGGTGGTGGTGATAACACTGGCATTTATTGAACTCTTACTGTGTTGCAAGTACATGTTTTCATTTAATCCTATAAACAATCTTACAAGGTACTATTGCCATTTTATAGATAGAAAATTTAAGCATAGAGAGATTAAATAACTTGCCCAAATTCACACAGCTCATGTATGGTAAAGCTGGGCTTAAAAACTCAGGCTACATTTCTAGATACTAGGTTAGCCCCATTTTTTGTATTAGAGGGATAAACTTAGGGAGTAATTAACTCACTAAAACTCACATACCTTATAAGTGGCAGAACTAGACTATGAACCCAATTCCGATTTCCAAATTCTGTTCTTAATTGTTATGTTATATTGCCTCCAGGCTGCTAAAAACAATAAATTCTTTATGGTGTGGTATTGAGAATTGACCAGTTATGATTTAATATAAGTCACATTGTTGTGTTCATTCACACATGAAAGATGACATATTACCTTGATTGTTACACAGGTGGACCAGGCTTTTACCACTACTTGACACATGAACTCTGCCTATTGAGTTCATACAGAATATGAACACTTCTGGAATTTTGTGGATATTCAGGATTCTTGACATTGCTGGAATAGCCAGTGGGTGATGATAGTGTTAAGTAGATCATTTCTGTTGATTCAGCAGGAGGGCTTGTCTGCCCAACATATCAATAGCTGAAGGGAGGCAGATGGTAATGGAGAGAGGACATGTGCATGGGGCGGGGCTGCACTTCGTTTTTCCAGTTCTTTCTAGCACCTTCACTGTTTATTGACCCTGCCCCCTTTGCAGTTTTGCCCCCATGTTCTTTCTGTTAACTAACTCATCCTAGATATCTGACTTCTCTTAACTTTTGCCTGTGTAGATTTGTGATAACCATAGTATTTTCATCACCTGCCTGGTGATAGGTGGGTGATACACTATGGCTATAAAAAGAAAAGTCTGCCCTAAAATTGTCCACGGATAGCTAAACCATGTAGGACTTAGGACATTTCTCAGTTTTAGGTTATAGTCCCTAAATTCTTGAACTGGACTAGTGGATCTTGACAAGATAAATATTTTGTCTCATTTCATCATAACAGTTGTGAGCATAGACTGATGATGATAGCTTACTTTTTCTTTTGTAGGAAGGATGCCAATTCTGCGCTGCTCAGTAACTATGAGGTAAGCAGCTTTGAAGTGGGCTTTTGTGTTTTCCTCTCTGACAGTTTGCCCTTTGCGTCTGAAGATTGTTGAATTAGTTTTGGTTAGAAGTGACTGAAGTCTTTTGGATTTTTTACCTTAACACAGGACAGATGGCACCCTCTGGTGGACCTTGGGATATTCTAACCTTGATAAATTATACATAGGGTATCTGGGAAGACTTTATTTTCAGTAGGCAACCTTCTCTAAATCCCAGAGATTCTTGATCATCATTTGGGATGCCGTCATAGGATGGAAGCATTTATTTTAGAGCTTTTTTTTTTGTCTGTAAAGGTTCCCTATTAAAATACTTATGCCTTTTTCTAATTACCACCCTTTACCTATAAAATGCTTTTATATGTCATTTTTTGTTGATACTCACATAGTCATATGGGCATTAAGATCCTCATTTTGAAAGTGAGAGTTTAGTTGATCACCATTATGAATAGTAGGAATTAGCAGATTTATAATTTTTTGGATTTGGGAGTAGGGTTGCTGGGGATAGGGAAAGAAGGAAAGAAGCTGGTGAGAGAGGAAATATAACTATTTTTGTCTGCTGCCTATTTTGCTTGGGTCCTGTTTAGTACTAGCAGAACCATCTAACAGGTCTAACTCCAGTTGTAGAAAGAACCATTCATACCTTGACTGTCAGTTTTCCACATGCCAGAGTCTAAACTCATGAAGACTTAAGGAGGTTTGGGTCTCCAATGTCTGATTTATATGTATAGAAGGTAGTATAGTAAACTCAGTCGGCCATATTTCTTCCTTCCTAAAGTTTCTTCATAACAGTAAGGAAATAGTTGCTGGTCGAGCCTTTGACTTTTAGGAGCCTCTTTATCCAATCTGGAGTTTGTTAAGTGTTTGAGTCATTGGGGGAAGCATTACATTCACTGGGTCTCATGCCACTATTTCTGAGAGGAATAGCAGACAGGAGGGGTTGCATTGTACCTCGTAATGGTGTGTGAGCCCATATTTCCTTTAGTTCATTTAGATTCTCTAAAACAGCAATAAGATTACCCCCAGTGCTAATGCATGTGTTTTTTTCCCTTTTTTTGTTTTTGTAAACTATATTTTATCACTTGCCTCGTAATTTTTCCTTTGCAGAAATAAATTATTGTACTAAATTATTATACTATTTTCATATCAGAGATGCAGAATTCTTTTTAAAAAATATTTTAGGAAAATTTACTTTCAAATAGTATATTTTTTAGACCATTGGAAATTAGTGCTATGGCATATATTGATAGGAAACATTTGAAATATTTTAGTTAATGAATTTGAATTATTTGACTTAGATAAAAGAGCATTATAAAAATATCACATGCTTCTAGGACTTATTTGCTTATATCTAAGAGTTGGGAGGCAGATTTGTGGAAAAAAGGAGGTACTATACTTTCCTATTTATCTGTCATAAACCCCTGATCTTAGAATACATATATTTATCAAATTTGTTCATAAAAATCTTTTGTGTATCTTTTCCTAGGTGTTCCAGTTACTAACTGATCTGAAAGAGCAGCGTAAAGAAAGTGGAAAGAATAAGCACAGTTCTGGGCAACAGAACTTGAATACTATCACCTATGAAGTAAGCCTGGACTTGTAGCAGGCCTACCTAAATCAGTATTGAAGAAGAAGATTGGTTTATTCTGTTGATGACTGGCTGCCAAAATCAAGATTGCCTCTTATTTGATTTTTTTTTTTATTGAGCTAGAGTCTCACTCTGTTGCTCAGACTGGAGTGCAGTAGCTGCTCCTTCCGCCTCAGCCTTCCAAGTAGCTGGAACTACAGGCGCGCGCTACCACACCCGGCTACTTTTTAAAAAAAATTTATTGTAGAGATGAGGTCTCACCAAGTTGCCAGGCGGGTCTTGAACCTGTGGGCTCATGCAATCCACTCACCTTGGCCTCCCAAAGCGCGGGATTAAAGGCTGAGCCACCGAGCCGGGACCTCTTATTTGATTTAAATAGCTTACTGTAACCCAGTTGTTATTCTGTTTATAAAGGTGGGAGGAGTTTGGCCAGCTGCAAGGGCTAGCTAGCTACAAAGTTAGAGTAGGCTGTAAGACTGAGAATCCCTACCCCCGAACTACTCTCAGGTTTGATAATTCACTAGAAGAACTCACAGAACTCACTGGAAGTTATTATATTAAAGATTATGGTTTATTACAGCAAAAGGAAACATGTTAACATTGACTGAGGGAAGATGAAAATAGGGTAGAGTCCAGGGGAAACACCAAATGCAGAGCTTCCATTGTTCTCTCCCATGGAGTCAGGACATGTTACTCTCCTGAAATCAATGTGTGACAGTAGGCAGAGAATACTGCCAACCAGAGAAACTCAGCTGAGCCTTAATACCCAGAACTATACAGGTAGAGTCAGCCTCTACCCTAGCTTACATTGTTAAGATTATCCAGTGTGACCTAAGACCCCCAACCAAAGATGCTCCTGTTAAGCATAATATTCCAAGGGCTTGGAGCTTACCTAGGGCAAAGGCCAGAAATTGTCTTTGGTTTTAATTATTTTTGTCTTTTCAAAGACTATTTAAATTTAAGTTACCATAATCCCCTATAAGAAAAAGGACTTCAGCACTTTCCCCACCATTTCTTCCCATCTAATTTTGTTCATTTGATATGTTTAAAACCCTATTATTTATGTATTCACTCATGTTCTTTTACATTATATAGTTCAATTCTTTCAAAGCAGAAAATATTGGTAATTAGTATTGAAATTTGGTAAAAACAAGATTTCAAACTGTCAGGTATTCTTAACTGTAAATACTTAGTTTAAGCTCAACTCTGTTCTTCCTTAAGTTCTTGCTTTTAATTCTTGGTGCCTTAAGGAAAGTTAATTGTGTTAAATGTTTTGAGACTTTCTACACAGAAGAATACATGTTTCCAGTGTTCTTAATGTGAATGACAGGTCATCTGAATATGGGGCTTGGGGGTTCAACTTTTATTCTTCAAGGCCCTGTAGGTATTATACTATCTGTTAGTATTTGTTGTTATAGAGGAGTCTGAGCCCAATCTGATTTTTGTACTTTGAAAGACTTTTAGGCACTTAAGGTACTGTTTATTTTTCAGCTTTGAAGTACATCCCAAGTTAAATCTACGTGGACTTTCCCTTTAAAAGAATAAAAAATTGACTGATTGCAGTCGCTTTTAAAGAGGCTGAGGTGAGAAGATTGCTTGAGCCCAGGAGTTCAAGACCAACCTAGGCAGCATAGCCAGTCCTTGTCTCTACAAAAACTCAAAAAATTGGCTAGCGTGCCTGTGGTCCCAACTACTCAGGAGGTTGAGGCGGAAGGATTGCTTGAGCCCAGGAGGTCGAGGCTGTGGTGAGCCGTGATGGTGCCATTGCACTCCAGCCTGGGCAGCAGAGTAAAGCTCCGATTCAAAAAACAAAACAAAACAAAAAGACACCCAACTGTCCTTTTTCTGTTCCAGGATCCAATCCAGGATACCATCTATACCATCTTGTATTTAGTTAACCCAAACTGGAGGTCAGTGGCACGCTCCTGGCCACCGCAGCCTCAACCTGCTGGGCTCAGATGATCTTTCCACCTCAGCCTCCCAAGTAGCTGAAACGACAGGCACGTGCCACCATGCCTGGCTAATTTTGTGTGTGTGTGTGTAGAGAGATGAGGTCTCACCAAGTTGCCCAGGCTGGTCTTGAACCCATGGGCTCAGGCAATTCTCTCACCTTGGCCTTCCAAAGTGCTGGGATTATAGGCGTGAGCTGCTGTGCCCAGCCTGGGTCCTCTCTCTCAAGAAAAATTGCCTGAAGTATGATAACACAGTTGTTAGATTTGTTCTGTTTTTGATCCCATATCTCACTCTGTCATCCAGGCTGGAGTGCAGTGGCACAGTCACAGCTCACTGCAGCTTCAAACTCCTGGGCTCTGGTGATCCTTCCGCTTCATCTTCCTGAGGAGGTGGGACTCCAGGCACATGCCACTCATGCCTGGCTAACTTTTTTTTTTTTTTTTTTTTTTTGAGTCGGAGTCTCACTCAGTCGCCCACACTGGAGTGCAGTGGCCGCTCCCAGCCACCGCAGCCTCGACCTGCTGGGCTCTGGTGATCCTTCTGCCTCAGCCTTCCAAGTAGCTGGAACTACAGGTGTGCGGTACCACGCCTGGCTAATTTTTTGATTTATTGTAGAGATGAGGTCTCGCTAAGTTGCCCTGGTAGGTCTCGAACCTGCGGGCTCAGGCAATCCACTCACCTTGGCCTCCCAAAACGCGGGATTACAGGCTGAGCCACCGAGCCCGGCTGCCTGGCTAACTTTTTTGTGGTTTATATATTTATTTTTTTTGGTAGAAGTGAAGGCTTGCCATGTTGCCCAGGCTGGTCTCGAACTCCTGTGCTCAAGCAGTTCTCCTCCTTCAGCTTCCCAAAGTGCTGGGATTACAGGTGTGAGCCATTGCGCCCAGCCTTTTTTTTTTTAAAGATAGAAAACTTTTCTTCTAACATTTCATTAATTTATTCTTTCTGTTCTGGCTACTGGTTTTCTCTTTCAGGAATTTTTGTTATGAGGTTTGGTTCTCCTGAAGGCATTTATTTTATAGAGGATAGATAAAACAAAAATTTAGAATACTAAATTTTAGACACTGCCTTCCTTTTTTCTCAGAGTTCTTTGTCTTATGCTTGCCTTTTCCTTTTTTTTTTTTGTAGACATTAAAATACATATCCAAAACACCATGCAGGCACCAAAATCCTGAGATTGTCAGAGAATTTCTCACAGCATTGAAAAGCCACAAGTTGACCAAGTAAGTAAAGATTATCTTAAATAGGAAGAGAATGATACATAATGAAAATGACAGATTGAAAAAGTCATCCTCAGCAGCTATGTATTTATCTGTAATTGGGTTTTAGATTTATAATTAACACACAGTGCTCTTTTAAAGTAGGATTATGGTATTACATATGAAACAATGAGAGTTGGACATAAGGGACCCTTCTAGAGTGAGGAATAGAACTTGATGGGTTTTTTAAATCTCAAGATCTTTTCTTGCATTCCCAGTTCATATGACCTATTCCATCCAGTTCTTCCCAGCATTCAGGCCAGATTGGATGAAAAGTAGAGTTCACAAATTAAATACTTTTTATCAAATTGATCAGTGAAGTCATTTGACATTTGTGTTTGCTTGAGGCAAAAGTGTCTTGATAGCATTGTCTGTTCTTCTAGTGCCCAGTGACTTTTCTTTATGACTTTCTAGAATGAGTTCCACTTGTAAAAACTAAACACATCATAGATCAAGAGTTTCATGAGAAGAAAATTAGCCCAGGTCTTTTAGAATCAATACCAGAGCTGATAAATTCCAAAATCTTTTTTTTAACTCAGGATAATCAATAATTTTCTTTTAGAGAAACCATTTCATGTGATGTCTATAAATTTGACTGCTTTCTACAAGTGGAATCATATAGTATTTGTCTCTTTCGTATCTGAATGTTCTTTGCTTTTTTTTCTATTATTTTAGCTAAGTGTGAGGTTCACTGGCATTAAATACCTTCACATTTTACAATCATCATCGCCATCTGTCCACAGAATATTTTTCATCTTATAAAACTGAAATTCTGTACACAATAAACAATAACTCCTCATTCTCTCCTCCTCCTAGCCCCTGGCAACCACTATTCTATTTTCTTCCCTATGAATTTGACTACTCTTAAGTACCACGTGTGAGTGCAATTGTATGGTACTTGTCCTGTGGTATCTAGCTTATTTCACTGTTCATAATGTCTTCAAGGATCATTTATGTTGTAGCATATGTGAGAATTTCCTTCCTTTGTAAGGCTAAATAATATTCCATTTTATGTATAAACCACATTTTTATCCAACATCCATTGATGTATATTTGAGTTGCTTTTACCTTTTGACTATTGTGAACAGTACTGCTATGTGCATGTCAGTATATCTCTGAGATACTACTTTCAGTTATTTTGAGTGAATTTTTTATTTTTTTTGAGTTGATAACTCACTCTGTCGCCCAGGCTGGAGGGCAGTGGCATGATCACCTGGACCCAGGTGATCCTTCTGTACTTCAACTGTATAAGAAACCGCCAAACACTTTTCCAAAGTAAATACACCATTTTGCATTTACCTCAGCTATGTAAGAAAGTTCTAATTGCTTCCTGCTGATACTTATTGTTTTTACTTGGTGGGCTTTTGTGTTTGTTTGTTTGCTCGTTTGTTTGTTTTAAGATAGAGTCTCACTTTGTTGCCCAGGCTGGAGTGCAGTGGCGTGACATAGCTCACTGCAGCCTCGAACTTATGGACTCAAGCAGTTCTCGCACCTCAGCCTCTCAGATTGCTAGGATTACACATGTCAACCATGGTACCTGTCCTGTTTTTAATACTTTTTATCTTAGCTCTTCAGATTGGTTTGAAATGGCATCTTATTTTAATTTGCATTTCCTTAATAACAAATAATGTTTGTCATCCATCCTGTGTTTATACGTTATACATTTATCTTTGATGAAGTGTCTGTTAAAATATTTTGCTCATTATTTTATCACATTTTTTATTACATGGTTTTTATATAGTCTGGATATGAGTCCTTTGTTTGACATGTAATTTGCAGATAATTCCTCCAATGTGTATCTTGTCTTTTCATTCTCTCAACAATGTTGTTCTGAGAGCAGAAGGTTTTAATTTTGATGAAGTCAAATTTATTTTTTTATTATGCATCCTGCTTTTGATGCTGTATATAAGTATTCAGCCAAGCCCAAGATCCCAAAGATTTTCTCTTATGTTTTTTTCTAGAAATAATCAATTTTGAGTTAATTTTAGAGGTATGACATGAGATACTGATTAAGATTCATTTTTTGGTATGTGTATAGATGTTAAACTGTTCCAGTACCATTTATTGAAAAGACTGTCCTTTCTCCATTTGAATTACCTTTGCAGTTTTGTAAGAAACCTGTTATCTGTTTCTTCATTCTATCCTTTTGCCCGTACCATACTGTTTTGGTCACTGCAGCTTTGTAATAACTATAGAGATAGGATAGTGTGAGTTCTTCCACTTTGTACTTTAAAAAAAATTATTTTGACTTTTACAGTCCTTTGCCTTTGTATCTACATTTGGCTTGTTGATATTTGGAACAAATTCTTCTGGAATTCTGATTATATTACATCTATAGACCGGTTTAGGGGAGAAAATTGACATTAACATACTAAGACTTCTAATCATGAAAACAGTGTAGCATACAGGTTCTGCACCAATTTTTTTATATTTATATCTAAGTGTTTTATAATTTTTGGTGCTATTATAAATGGTACTAATTTTAGACATTCATTACTAATGTAGAGAAATATATTTGACTTACCTAAATTGACGTTATATCTTCCAGCCTTGCTAAATCCACTTAATAGTTCAAGGAGCTTTTTTAGTATATCCCTTGGGTTTTTCTATATAGGCAGTCATAGTGTTTGCAAACACAGAGTTGTATTTCTTTCTAGTCTGTGTGCCTTTTATTTCTTTTACTTGCTTCATTGCACTGGGAGGGCCTCCATGATGGTGGTGAATAATAGTGGTGAGAGCAGACATCCTTGTGTTGTTCCTGATCTTTGGGGAAACCATTCAGTCTTTTACCATTAAGAATGATGCTAGTTTAGGTTTTTCATGGATGCACTTTACTAGGTTTAGGGAGTTTATATTGCTGAGATTGGATGTTGAATTTTGCCAGTTGCTTTTTCACGTTCATGTGGCTCTTGTTCTTTTTTTTTTTTTTTTTTTGAGTTGGAGTCTCACTGTCGCCCAGACTGGAGTGCAGTGGCCGCTCCCGGCCACCGCAGCCTCGACCTGCTGGGCTCCAGCGATCCTTCCGCCTCAGCCTTCCAAGTAGCTGGAACTACAGCCATGCACTACCACACCCGGCTAATTTTTTGATTTATTGTAGAGATGAGGTCTCGCCTGCCCAGGCGGGTCTCGAACCCACAGGCTCAGGCAATCCACTCACCTCAACCTCCCAAAGGCGTGGGATTACAGGCTGAGCCACCGAGCCTGGCTGGCTCTTGTTCTTTAGTATAAAAAAGTTTTATAGTTTTTTGCTTATGTCTTTTTGTATATTTTTATTTTTAGTGGTTGCTGTAGGAACAGTATGCATATCTAACTATTTCCAGACCAGAGTTAATATTTTACCACTTTAAGTAAAATGTATATAGGTTCCCTTAACTTCTGTCTTTTATGCTATGGTTGTCATATTTATAACAAACCATCTGCATACATTGAAAATATTGTCAGCAGTGTTTTAACATTTACTTTCTATACGCTCACATTTTTTTTTTTTTTGAGTTGGAGTCTCACTCTTGCCCAGGCTGGAGTGCAGTGGCATGCTCACGGCCACCTCAGCCTCAACCTGCTGGGCTCAGGCGAACCTTCCACCTCAGCCTTCCAAGTAGTTGGAACTACAGGCGTGTGCTACCACGCCCAGCTGATTTTTTCTTTATTTATTATAGAGATGAGGTCTCACCAAGTTGCCCCAGAGCTCATGCATTCCTCTCGCCTCAGCCTCCTAAAGTGCTCGGATTACAAGCTTGAGCCACTGCACCCAGCCTACTCTCACATATTTTAAAGAACTTAAGAGAACTCAAAGTTTTCTGTGTGTTTACCCAGGATGTTACCATTTCTTTTGTTCGTTATTCCAGAAGCTCCGTTTCTCTCTTATTGTTTACTTCACTCTGAAGAATTTTCTTTAGCACTTCTCTTAGACCTGTTGGTCTGCTGGTTGCAAATTCTCTTAGTTTTCATTCAACTGATGTCATTATTTTCTTTTATTCCTGAAAGATAATTTCACCATGTTGAGCAGTCTTTTCCCTCAGAACTTTAAAGATGCCATTTCAGTGTCTTCTGGCTGTCACGCTCGCTGATTAGAGAGCTCTGTGATCACTCAAACATGTTATATGTCATTTTCCTCTGGTTGCTTTCAAGATTTTTCATATCTTTGGTCTTCAGTAATCTGATTATGATTTGTTTAGGCTTTTTTAAAAAATCTGTCTTTGCTGAGCTTCTTGATTGTGTAAATTTGTTTCTTACTAAATTTGTGAAGTTTTCAACTATGCTTGAAATATTTTTTTTCTGTGCCAAACTCTTTCTTCTCTCTTTATTGAACTCTGAAAACACAACTGCTAGACCTTGATACTGCTCTATAGGCCTCTGAGGCGCTATTCCTTTTTTTTCTTTGTTGTTCAAATGAGATCATTTCTCTTGTTCTGTCAGCAGGTTCACAGATTCTTCTCTTATCTCCATTCTTTTATTGGCTTACCAGTGAATTTTTCATTTCAGGTATTTTTCAGTTCTAAAATTTGTATTTGCTTATTTTTTATAACTTTTGTCTCTTTCCTGAGAACTTCTGTTATTCCATTCATTTTAGAAATGTTTACTTTAACCCTATATTGCTATAATAGCCGAAGTCTTGATAATTCTAACATCTGGGGCATCATAAGTTTGGCATCTGTTGATTATCTTTTCCCTTGAGAATGAGTCATATTTTCCTGGTTGAGGTAATTTTAGATTGTATCCTGGACATAAACCTGAATATTGTTTAGACTCTGGGTCCTGTTAATTGGGTTAACCCAATTAGGTTCAGAGTTCAAGTCAGTCTTGCCTTCCAGGGGCAAGGATTTCAGTGTCATTTTAGCTTTTAAAACCTTTGTCCTGCTGCGTTGGGTCATTTATGCATATGAAACTGGAGTGGTGGTTTAACTTGCTCATTTCTCAGCATCTTTGCGGTGCTGCTTCTGTTTGATGCTTGCTGTTCTGCACAT